GAGAGAGAGAGAGAGAGAGAGAGAGAGAAAGGAGAAGGCACCCATCAATGGGGCTTGATAACCTCACACTCACTTCTCCATTTCTGCATGCTGTAGGGGGGGCTTTATAACCTCACACTCACTTCTCCATTTCTACATGCTGTAGGGGTTTGCCCCTCCACACACACACCAGCCTAGTGTGCTTTTCAAGTGACCAGCGGCCCGTATTTGAAAGGTAGTTGGCCATGTGAGATCTGGATCACTGACCACCAGAATGTTTTTACAAAATGCAGCTATTAATAGTTGTCTGCAGCACCAGGAAGCCCAGACAAACACAAATTCCCAAGATGGAGCATGTCCAAGCTCTGGTGTGAAAGATGTGAACAGTTGATTCCACACTGAGTGAATTCCTTTGCCAGAGGAAATCCCAGTGGAATAGGGAATGGAGATGTGTACAAAGGTGTCCTGAATGACCTTGGTTTCAATTGTGGCTCATGTGGGCTGAAAAACACAGTGGACACAGATGTATGTGTGCCCCCAAACCTGATGAGATGGTGACATGGAGGAAAGAGGATTGTAGATTGACCATATCTCATAGGGGACTCTCTCTAGCTCTCTGGAATATATGCATGTCCATTCACAATTTTAAAATCATTAAATAAATAAGAATAAAACATTTTAATACACTTTCTTGCAGGGGTGACTGAGGCACTTCAGCAGAACAGAAGGGAGGCTTTTGTCTCACTTCCTCCAGCGTCTGGAGGACTGTAGAAGCCTTCGAGTTTTCATGCCATATATTAATGTAATAGTCAGCCTCATCCTCAGGCTGCAGCCTAGAGACGTGCAGAACACCTGCATTGGCCGAGGTGTCCATGGATCCAGAGAAGTGGCTGGGAACCCTGGAGCCCTGGTGCTTATTTGAATCTGTGTCATACCACAGGAGATAGCAGAGAGGGCTATCAGCAGAAGCCAAAGTCACTGACACTGAAGCCACTGCTCAGGGTGCAGGTGAGTCTGGTAGATGCCCCAGGAGATGCAGAGAGGGAGGGTGGCTGAGCTACTACAGGCTGGGAGAGGGAACCTGCAGACACAGACACAGGAGAATGATAAGACAATTACCAAGGTGACCATGTTCATGGGCCTCAGTCACAAAAGAATGAGGTAGGATGAGACCTGCCCTGTGTCTGCAAGGCCTGTCCCAACCAGTGCAGTAAGAGAGGAGCATGAGGAGGACAGGAGTCCAGGCCATGGTGGACACAGCCCCTGGTCACCACATGGCTGGGCTGTCCAAGGCCTCCTTTTCTTCCCACCCTCTACCTGAGGAGGGGCTCTTCATGCAAACGTGTGTCCATGTAGTGACTTCACAGTCCCTCCCTGAGCCTCAAACTGCAGACTGAGGGGCAGGGAGGTTGGCCCCACCCCTTGGGGAGCCCTAGAAGGAAGTACCTGCTGGAATGGCACAGAGGCCCTTGCTCAGGGGACTTTGCCAGTCAGAGAGGACAGACCTTCTGAGTCCCCATCAGGGAGCACGGGGACAGTCCTAAGCACAGGCTTCTTTGGGCAAACATCCTCACTTAGCAGCTGTGCAGGAAGCATATGGCAGTCCCCCAGTTCCCCCTGCTGGTTGCAAGCACACAGGGCCCCATGGCCCAGAGATCTGGGAGCACAGCTGGTTCCTGCAGCTCACCAGGCCCTGTCTGTGCTCATTACAAAGACTGATTTCTGAGCCCACTAGCCAACAAGGGAAATTGAGGCTGGGTTACCACTGCCCCCAGCCCACTTCCAGGCTCCCAAGAATAGGACCCCCACCTCCTTTAAAGACCAGACAGGTCCTTGCCCTGCAGGAGACCTCCTGTTCCACCTATAGCCCACTTGCCAGCAAGGGAAATTGAGGCTGGGGCACCACTGCCGCCAGCCCACTTCCAGGCTCCCAAGACTAGGACCCCACCTCCTTTAAAGTGAAAGGGAAACACACTTGCTCCTAGTCGAAGAAACATTCTCTTAAGAGATATTCAAAAGTGAATACATCTTCTAATGGCTAGAAATAGGAGAAGAGCCTCAGGTCTGAATAAGTCAGGAAATGCGTCTCCATCAAAGGAACAGAGTAACTCCCCTTCATCTCTCCTAAAATCTGAAGATGTCACCAAAATGTCAGAAAAAGAATTTATAACCTTCATGATGGACAAATTCTATGAATTGGAAAAGAGACAACAAACTTCAGGAGATTAAGAAGTCCTTCTACGATATGAAACAAGAAATGGACACTCTGAGAAAGAATCAGATGGAGCTATTAGAGATGAAGTCTGAAATACAGGGAATCAAAAACTCTCTTGAAAGTATTAAAAGTCAATTAGACCATGCAGAAGATCGAATCTCTAATGTAGAAGATGAAACTTCTGACCTAGAAGAAAACACCAAGAAGACAGAGAAAATAACAGAAAAACACAAGGGTAATATCCAAGAAATACTAGATTCCATAAGATGCCCAAACATCAGAATAATTGGCATCCCAGAAGGTGAAAAAAGTAAAAACGGCATGGAAAATCTATTCCATGAAAATCAGGAAGAAAATTTCACAAGTCTAGAAAGACACTCAAGCATCCAAACCCGAGAAATACAAAGGACCCCAAATAGACTCAACCCAGAAGATCTTCCCCAAGGCACATTGTAGCCAGACTCTCGAAGACCACAGATAAAGACATGGTACTAAAACTAGCAAGAGAGAAAAGAGAAGTGACTTACATCCCATCAGGCTAACACTGGACCTTTCAACAGAAACAATGCTAGCAAGGAAAGAATGGGAAGATGTATTGAAAGTTTTAAGAGAGACAATTTCAACCAAGACTATTATATCCAGCAAGATTATCCTTCATATGGGAAAAAAAGATTAAAATCTTCTCAAACAAAACCTGAAAGAATTTGCCGACACCAGACCAGCACTTCAAGAAACCCTGATGAATGTACTGCTCCAGGAAATCTAAAGAATTAACAGACCAAAACAAAGGAATAAAAAGCAACTAAGACCATGGCCAACTTAAATGTCAGAATAGATCCAGTAACATTGATAATAACATTGAATGTGACTAGATTAAATTCTCAATCAAGAGACACAGACTGGGTGAATGAATAAAAAAACAGAAACCTTCTATCTGTTGCCTGCAGGAAACCCATCTCATGGATAAAGGCATACATAGACTGAAAGTGAAGGGTTAGAAAAAGGTTTTCCATGCAAATAGGAACCAGAAAAATGCTGGACTTGCAATACTAATTTCTGACAAAATAGGCTTTAAAACAAAAACTGTTCAGAGAAACAAAGAAGGGTACTATATTGTAGTAAAGGGGTCAATAGATCAAGAAGATATAACGCTTACAAATATCTATGCGCCTAACACAGGAGCATCTGAATATGTGAAGGAAAGACTGTTAGATCTAAATGGGGAGATAGACTGCAATACACTAATTGTTAGAAACCTCAACACTGCACTATCCCCTCTGGACACATCATCTAGACAAAAAATAGATAAAGACATAAGGATCTAAATGATACCATAAATCAAATGAATTTAACAGACATCTATAGAACTTTCCATTCAAAACAATGAGATACACATTTTTTCTCACCCCCACATGGAACCTTTTCAAAGATTGACCATATTATAGGGCACAAAGCAAGCTTCTACAGATTCAAAGGCATAGAATCTATATCCAGCATCTTCTCTGACCATGATGGAATTAAACTTAAGTTTAATTTCAAGGGAAATTCTCAAAAATATTCAAATACACAGAAACTAAATATCTTACTCCTGAATGACTCCACAATTACTGATGAAGTAAAGACTGAAATCAAAAGATTCATGGAGGCCAATGACAATAAGGACACAAGTTGCCATAATCTTAGGGACACTGGTAAACAGTCATCAGAGGAAAGTTCATAACAATTAGTGCACATAAGAAGAAGACAGAAAGAAGGCAAATGGATCCCCTAACATCATGTCTTAGAGAACTGGAAAAAAAAATCCAAAAACACCAGGAGAAAGAAAATAATAAAGATATGAGCAGAAATAAGTGAAATAGAAAATAAACAAACTATACAGAAAATAAATGAAAGTAAAAGCTCGTTCGTTGAAAAGATCAATAAAATCGACACACCATTAGTGAGACTTGTTAAGAAGAGAGAAAGGAACCAGGTGAAGTAAATCTGCAATGAACCAGGCAATATCACAACAGACAAAGTAGAAATACAAAACATCATTAGAGAATTCTATGAACATCTATATGCTAAGAAACAAGACAATCTGGATGAGATGGACACATTCCTGGACACATATAATATACC